ATCATTTTCAATTAACATTGTCGTAAACTGTCGTGCGGATTATTGAATAAGGCCGATATTGTACACAGATTATGGATTTTATGGCACTTTTAGTGGTTTTGGGTGAAAATCGTTATTTCAATTAAATACGTTAATTTCAGTTAAATACGTCCTAGATCCGAACGAATGGAATCGCGTGATATCTTTGGGAATTCCAAGCTCCAAAAAATATAATACGTACGTAATAACGGAGTGAACTATTCGATAGAATCTATGGATTTACAATTCTTATATGGATTTTAATTTCTTAATTTCGAATTGTTCCTGTTACTCTTTCTATAAATCAGTAAGTTAATTCTATTTTTGAAAGAATTCTTTTCTTTCCTTTATCTCTTATTTTCATTTCAAAAAGATTTTTTTATTTCCAATAGATCGAATAATTAACAATATCGATACTGCGAAGCATAAAAAAGATCCGATTAAGAATCTAATGTAAGTTACATGCTTATTGTGATCATGCAATTTTATAAAATCATCGTGAAACTCTACGAGGATTTTACGAAGAAAATTTTTTAGTTACATTTGTTCTTGATTATTTTAATCATTGTAGCGTTCTAACACTGGTTTTTTTTTGCCCATATTTCTTCTTCCGTTTTTTTCCTAATTCTTCAACTCTTTCAACCATTATATTTACCTTATTACAAAACACGCTCGTTGTTATTTTCCCTTTCCTTTCTTTTTTTCTACTTTTGTTCGAGCATGTAGTCACAATATAACAAGCTTTCGGAATTAAAGAAATTATGAATTATTGGAATGCTTCGTTTTCATTTCCTCTGGTTTATTTTACATCCGTTATTAAACGGAATTTATCTTTAAAAAGCAAAAGAATATGAAATATGTAACTTCAGTTTCTCTAAATCTTTTCTCTTCTTCCATGTACTTTATTTTTCTTGCTACGTAACGTATCATTATGATTTTAAGTATTCCTTTATACATATTGTAGAAAGAGTGATACTTTTTTCATTTGTGAAAATTGATATTACTAGTATGTGATATGTAGTATGATTGTAAAAATTATTATTCTTATTATTTATGTGATATGTGACATTATTTATGTAATTCTTATTATTTATGATAATTAAATCTTATTATTAGTATGTGATATGTAGTATGATTGTAAAAATACTGTAATGCATTGTCTTAATCAAGTTGAATATGAAGAACGGGAAGGAGAGGAAGAAAGAAAGAAAGAGAAAGGAATCACAGGGACAAACGTGTAATTTAACAAGTGAACCTCGAAGTGAGGAAGTGTTATTTCACGAGGTTAAAGACTAACTTGTAAGAAATATTTAAAGAGAAGCATTAAATTGCTGATTTATTTTCTATTGAAGAATACAGAAGAAAATAATATCTGTATTCGATGATAGAATATGCAAGAAATATAACAGATAATTTGATTGTAAAATGAAAAGAAGTCGGTCAATATAAGGACAAGTGTGTCATGTGCTGCAGAAGTATATATTTGTACGATTGTCTTCCAACTAACTGCAAAAAGACATTGTAAAAAAAAAACTGTACGCTTAATGTAAATGTAGCTGACTATCAGTTCCCTACTTGAATCTCCTATTTCGTGTCAAAGTTTCGCCATCGTGGGCACTCGTAATATTCGTCGCTTTCAACGAAATATTCCATATATGTATGAAAATTGCTCATCGTTGTATTCATATGCTTCTGAACAATCCTTCATTTCCGTGTTTACTTCTTCTTCATACCCTTCATCTCTTTGGTTTTCCAAAAATGCACTTGTGAGTAAAAGCTATATGATAGTGTCACGTTGACGAAGGTAGGTTTAATAAAAAATGGAGAACAAATGGATAAATTTCACGTGTGATCACTTCACAATACGATTCACTAAACAAATTGATGTTTTATGAAGAGAAAGAAAAAAAAGATTAGACTTTAGAAGAAATAAAACTTTATGAACATAATTCACCCAATTTCAGAACGATTCAAAGTAATAAAGAAAAAAGTTCGAGTTATAATCCAAAACTGAAAATTTATTGTGCGTTTAGGTTCTTTTATAATATTGGGTGTACACCGAATTGGATATATAATTGGGGGGCCGTATGCACAGACCTCAGTCGCTGAATCTGCTGACTGTTAATTGTGAAAATAGGTGAATATGAGATTAAGAGTTTGGAGAATGACTGGAAGTCTGCATCTTATCGGTGGGTAAAAATTTTTAAACTGCTGACTGCTGACAATAGCTGTGTGGTTTTATGATACGATGATGAAACGAGGGCGTATCTACATATATACATATGCAAACTTAATTGCCAATTCAAAAAGGCGAGCAATTGAATATGAAAAAAGTCCAGAAATGTGATACTTCACCATTCGATATTTCAAAGAAAGTGTATAATATTTTTCATGAGATAGTCCTCGTTGTTTCTACGTGTCTATGTTTTATTTTCTATGTGTATAAAGAAGTAACTCGCATACGAGTACGTTAAACTCTTTCCTGAGACGTAGAAATATGTACGTTGGCAAACGTACACTGAGCAAAGAATTAAGATTACCTCTATAAGATTTAATCTTAACGTTGAATAAATATGTACAATGTACCAGATTTCAACAAATGTATGTTGTTTTGTTGCCAAACCAGATAGAAGCGATTGATTTCACTTCCAATTCGTAGCATGCCAATAACTGATGTTCTCTTTTTACTTTTCTTTCTTCGTTGAACCAGTACTAATATAAGTGTAAGTTTCATTTCGACAAGGAGCAGTGTGTAGCGTTTAGTTTGTCATTTTTTGACGTGATCGCATGTGATCGTTTCGTTTCTCATCTTTTTCCTAGCTCCCCTTCGCACAATTAAATTTCAAACACCGAATTCATTGCAATCTTATTTACAATATCAATTTTATTAAATCATAATTCAGTGATCTAACACTGTTGTCATTGTTTCGTATCGTTCCTTTAACACGAATCGATCTACTGATAGCATTTGATAGTCTCGCAGTTTCAAATTAAAACGCAACATTATCCTCAAAATGATTTTATAAATTCACTATTTTCTAAAATAAATAAGATAATTAACAAATAACTGGACGAAATGATGTTCGTGGGGTTTCATTTGAACAAATCATTGTTATAAAGGTACTTATTAATTAGTCATAAAACGGAGATTCATGTTCATCGATGGGTAATTATTTGTCGATACATGACATTGACGAAGAATGACGATGAAAGCGCGTAATCACGTGTTGCAAAAGAGAAATGAAATCGATCGCTCTAAGTTTGAACAAGATTCATATTTCTAAACTAACTGTTTAACCATCAGCTTCATTTCTTTCGCTTTGTATCTACACTTTTCTTTCAGTTTATCAAGATCATTCGCAAACGTTATTTTCTTCGTCTTCATTTCGTGAAGCAAAGTTCTGACACCTTCGGTGTCGGTTGTTTGCGGCAAATCAATGAAACCGAGATCGTGCCACACTTTGATGAAAAATGTGGTGAAACTCGGACGCGTACGAGCCGAATTCATCGCATTTCTAGTCCCAATGACTTCTGACCAAAATAATTTGGTCAGAAAGAATATGCTGTATGGCTTTCTAAACTCGTGAGTAAATCAAATGAATTTTTGATTTCGACGTAAGATCGTGCGAAAAAATTATGATATAAATTTTGTCTTTTCAATTAGTGACAGATATCTTCTCTGTAATTTTTAACTTTAATATAAAAGCTTGTCAATTTATTAGATCTCATCATTGAATGCTATTTCAGAATGTTAAAAAAAGAATTTCTTTCCTGCCGATTAATGCAGAACGCATTGTCGAACAATGGAAATGAATGTGAAACGATATTGACAGCTGAATAATGCAAGTTGCAACATTAAATTACATTGTACTTTGTGAATTCAACGAATTTTTAAATAATTTTAAATAATTATACCGAAACAATTCCTTGATTAATCATGACGGACTTCCACCGTGACACTGGCGATGAAATGGTGGACATAAAATATATGATTGTTGTATTATCACTATAAAAATGTTTGACAATAGCTGACCAATTATAAAAATTTTATTCATTTATTTATTCATTCAAATTTATTTATCAAAAATTTTATTCATTTATTTATTTAATTCATTTATAATTTAATTGGTAAAAGTTAATTGTATCGTTCATTCTATCTGATTATATCTTGTTATAAATTTTATATCGATAATTATTATGAACACACGCGCATTGATAAGACGAAAAGCTATAAAATTTGTAGAGATATAATTTAAATATTTATTAAATAACAAACATGGTAATAAAACAACAGATAATTAACACAAGACAAATAACATAAACTAATGATTCAAATAAACTCTTTAAACGGCACAATTAACTATTTTTATACAACACAATTGACTGTTTTAAACCACTCTCCTTCAACGCTTTCCCTGTGATTGACTCATCCATCAGTTTTTCAACTCGCACGATTCTGCTCTTTTCGAAAAGAAAAGCGCTCCACACCAACGCTGTGCTTCTTACATCATATTCATACCTTGTCGTTCACGCATCGTTATGATCAGCAAACAGGCTATTTGTTACAACTAAAAATATACGATAATACATATAATTTTTCACGT